ATATGGGGTCACTTCGAAAGCACAGGTTGACAGACAGTAAAAGTTCTCAATTTGAGACAATTTAACTGGATGATGCACATAAATAAGAGAATAGCTAAGGAGAAAAGGAAACTCAAGGAATTACATACAGAGGCTACTTTCATAGCATTCTACAAAGTTAGTGAGATTACAAACTTGTGTGAAGCAGTCACATATAATCCCACTAATGCACAGCAGGGCGATTTGATGGTCCACGGGTTCTCAAAGGCTTCTTGGCAGCATATGGTCTTTAGAGCAATTGCAGCAGATAGGAGGGGCAATTTCCAGGAGCAAAGCCATTTCACCAGCATGAAGCACCTCGATTCAGGTACATGCAAGACCAATCAACCACGAAATAGAGTAATTAGGGAAATTTGGTACAAAAATAAAGAAGACAAAATGGATATTGAAGATATGATAAGGGGGATCGATGTTACCTATGTGAGTTACAGACCGAAGTGGATGGACATAAGGAGTACAATCTTCAGTGACAGCACGGATCCAGGTACATGCAGGAAGTTTCAAAGAAGAAATGGAGTTAGAACAGTGGATTGGAGTGGGAAAGATGAAGATAAAACTCAAATGAAAGAGAGAGAGAGGATACAGTATCTAGAGGAGCTTCAGGTGGAGCAGAGGAGTCTGTGGAGAGAGGTAATGTATTGGGGAAATGGAATAGGTAGTGGGAAGTGTTGGTGTGTAATGACATATATGATATACAGGGGCACGTGTCGGGTGAAGTCAAGGATAAATCAAAGGTCGTTTATGCAATTTATTATGGTGGAAAGAGAAGTTGGCTATTCACGTAAATGCAATCTGATGGGAGGTGGCTATCAGTGCAAGGTGGTATCAGTTTGGGCTGGTTGTAATAAGGGATCAGATAGGTATTTGGGCTGTATTTTGAAAAAACAATACTGGGTTGTGGGAATAGTCATTATATGTGGTATACATATATGTGGCTATTTGCTCAATTTAGTAATAGGAAGTATTGGGCTGGTGGTGCAAGGTGGAGGCTGTTTATGCAAAGCAGTAGGGTGTTTGGGCTAGAGGCGCAATTTAGAGGCTGTTTGTGCAAATCATATGCACTTGCTGGGCTGGCCGCACACTC